AACAGAGAGAAGCTGAGCAAATGGAGGTAAAACAGTCTGACTTGTAGTGTAGCGGGCATAAGGGCACGTCACTCTTCAGAGCAGCACGATGGCAGTGGTTGAGGGGGTGAGGTGTGAGACTTGGCCCATAAGCGGGGGAAAGACCAAAAGCTGCTGGTTGAACGGCTCTCCCCTGAGTTGTGACATCTCTGAAGCACAGTCAAATAACAGCAAATCAAGTACAGTCCTCTGCAGCCACCTAGTAGGTCAGTATGCCTTTCAAGGTGCGTAGTTGTGGGTATTCTCTTACTGGTTGCTCTGGACATTAGTCCAGTGGGTGCATATAGTGATAAAATATCTTCCACTGTCCACAGGGGACATCTCTCAGTCAGCCACTAAGAAGGTATCAGAATCATTGTTGGTTTATTGCCCAGACAGGTGGGCAAATGTTTGTATTTACTTACTTACTTCTGTACCTCCCTTCCTTTCCTCCATCTCCAGTCACGTGAATACAAATGGCAAAGTTAAGTTTGAATCTTGGGTATGCATAATGCTTACATTGTGTAATCACTGATGAAGTGTATGTCATGCAGAGTTAGTGTCTTAACAAAGCAGAAAAACAAAGTAAAATGTCAGTTAATATTTTACTAACGTTCCCTTGTGCATGCTATTTTGTCTGGGCCTCCAGGCTTTCAATTTCATGGTCCCATTCAAATCAATAGTCTTGTCCATTGAATCATAGAATAATTTGGGTTGGAAGGGACCTCTGAAGGTCATCTAGCCCAACCCCCCCTGCCGTGGGCAGGGACATCTTCAACTAGATCAGGTTGCTCAGAGCCCCGTCCAACCTGACCTTGAACGTTTCCAGGGATGGGGCATCCACCACCTCTCTGGGCAACCTGTGCCAGTCTCTGTTCTTGAGGTGTAATACATGGAATACTCTTATATTCATATTCTGGCTAGTGAATATTATCTTTTGTTGTTACCTAAACTGTGGGTTTGTTTTGTTTTGTTTTGTTTTTACCTCAAGTAGCTTAATTAGTATTTCTTTTATAATACAGGTGGGATAGTATTTGTGTTGTTCTTGTTTTGTTTTCTATTCTAATAAAACAGCACTGAGATTTGGATTTGAGAGGACTTAATTATCAGATGGGGATATCGACATTCAGGAATAAAGAGCTGTGCTACCTCATCTTTTTTCAAGATACTGGATTATTTACATATTGAAATACAAAATGAGTATTGGGATGGATAAGGATGTGGGGAAGGAGGGGCAGTAATAAATTTAAATAAAATTCACATACAACCAAACACTTTCTAAAAAAAGCTTTGCATTTTTATGTACTGATGTTTATTTTAAAAGCATTTATGTATTTAAACAGAAACTTCTATTTAATTTTTTAGCATATATTTTTTCAGTTTAATTTATCTTTAATGAGTGAATTCAAAGGCAAAGCTACAGCTGTGTCCTACTCTTTCAAACCAGGAAAAAGCCTGAGTTTGTTCACCTCGCCACAGACAGCTATCTAGTATTCAGGTAGGTTTGTTGGGTGATGAGCTACCACATAGACATCGTGGAGTGCTGGTAGAGAGCAGCCCATCATGGGACAACGAGCCACTGTGAGGTTCCCTGACGTCTTTACGTTGTCAGGACTGTTGGCTGTTTGTTCAGAGCACTACATTTATCCACACGTGTTTGTAGTATACTCCTGAGTTGCTTCCCGTGTCCCTGAGCAGATCCGTATTCCAATCACCAACATGCCAGAGGAGAGTGTTTTCTGTGCAATGGGTTTCCGAAGGCTGGGAACGCCTGGGTGTTTCGGAAGGCACACTGTGGGCTGATCCTGGTGTTGCCATTTGACCTCTGCTGCTGGGTCCCGTGAGCAGCATCCCTCGTCCATGACGGGATTCCTGCGCCACACAGACTTGTTTTGAGGAAGCTCTGCACTGGTGTGATGCAGCCAGACTGCCTCGTTTATAAAATACTTTTTTTTTTGTTGACCTTTCAGCAGTAGTCCATTCACTTATTTACATATATTTCCTTAAATCTCTGTGTTTGATGCAGTTCTGGGGAAGATTGCTGAAATGTAGTTAAGCTCGGTGTTGGTGGGCAGCGTACAGAACTTCCTGAGACGGGTTTTTACAGCTCACAGCTATTAGGCGGCTAACCCCAAATAGCTATCTATTTCTGTCTTCTGCTTGCTGTGTCAAGTTCTTGCATGATGGGTTGCTATCTAAATCTGACTCTTAGGAGTAGGCAAAGTTATGTATATGATAGCAAGCATGCAAACTTTATAATTATTTACACTAATGTAGCAGTTTAATTGACTCAGAGTGTCTTGCTGGAACAAGCTCTGTTGTCTGAAATATTTGGTGTTGTGATTGTCTCACTACCATAGCTACTCCTAATTTCTGAGTGAAGACTTGGGAATGCAGTCAACTACATACCCATATCACTACAGAAAAGCTTGAAATGTAAGGTCATGGCCTGTGGAGGCTTCCAGCAAATGAGAATGATAGGTAGGAATGGAGCATCATATTAACACAAAGGCATGTTTTCCAGGTATATTCTCATGCATTTAAAAAAAAAAAAGGGGGAGGGGGTGGGGAAGTAGTTCCCAGGTGATCCTCTCTCAGGCAACTATGTCTGGCAAAACCTATAATGTAGCTTCCTAACAATAAATAAATTTAATAACTGCATGTGGTGGAATGGCTATGAATTTCTGCTTGAACTGTGACTTGTGGAGTATTCAGCCAAGGCTATAGAGTAAAATGGTCATATGAATGGAAGAACCAGTGACCCAGCTGATGATTTTTTTTTTTTTCTTCTCCGTCAAATGGCTCTGCAACCTCATCACTGTATCTTTTTTTCCCCTTTTTTCTTTTTTTTTTTTTTTTTTGGTAGACTGATCACAGCTGTTGGGAGACGTTCCTCACAAGCATTATAAATGCGGCAGCATCATGCCCACTGCTACAAAATTTGAACTAGTAGGAGGTCTTTCTCTGAAAACAATACCTTTCAGATAGTCTTTTAATTTTAGTGTACTGTAACAACAGGTTTAACAAGATATTCTTCCTTTTGAGGATTGGTTCCAACCCTTTAACTTTTTGGAGGCCTCTTCCATCTGTTGAGGAAATGTTTTTGGTTTGGTTTTTTTTTTTTTTTATGGTGGTACCTAATATGCTGTAGTGGAACTTAAACTGCCCAGGGGCTGTGTGGAGGCTGCCAAGTCTGTGGGACTAGTCATCTTGACTTTTCAGGACTGTTTTCCCTTGGGGAAAACACAATCGTCAGGTTTATTGTACAGTGAAAGATGTTTAATTTGTAAATGTCGTGGCAACTTCAAGGACTCTGTTTGGCATACAATGCTTCAAATACTGGTTTTACGTGAGAAGACAGCTATGATGTATGGCTGGAGTTGCTGCAGTTCTGCTTGCTTTCTTTTTTTGAATTCTCTTGAAGAAGATGGCCCTTAACCCTTTGCTAATAATCTGTTTCAGTTGAGGTGTGTCATGTCTTTTTGTCATGATGTAAATTAGGTAAAAATCCTGGTGATACAAAGTCTGTAACGTTCAAATATAGTCTGATCATTTCTTTATTTTCATTGTCTTTCAATGTTACTTGCCTGCAAAATCTGTGATAACAAGTTGTTTTAGTCAGAGGGGATTTGTCTGCTCTAGCAGTCAGATATCTGAATCTGAGCTAGAAGTCTCGACTCCATGTGTAGCAAGTAAAGGGAAATCAGTGGTTCTAGGTTGTAGACACATTGCATCCCATGTGCGCCTACTGTTTTGCCTTGACTGGACATCAGAGCTAGTCAGTTTGGCATCCCTTTAGAATTATATTAGAGGAAGCCACCTTTAAAGTTAGCAAGAATAAAAAAAGCTTGTGTTCCTAATATTCTGAAATGTCCTAAAAGTCCAGATTGGTTACACTCAACTTCAGACACGTATAACTGACACATCTAAGCCATAAGCATCATTGTCCTACTGAGTAATTAGTGGAGCAGTGTGTCTGAAGGGTTCACACAGACTGAAGCTTGAAAGGCACAGTAGCAATGATTTCCTTTTTATTGGCAGTAGAAGGAGCATAGAAATACTAGTCTCCTAATGTAACTGAGGTGCTAAAAGTAAATGGGATGAACTCGTCTAAATTCCTGTTAGTACTGCTTATGTCCAAGTGCATTACAGCTCTCCTACAAACCGTGTTTGCAGTGGTAGTAAGCTGGTATGGATGGGTTAAGGCAGGTTGATCCATATTTCCCCAGTAGTTCTTCCTGCCAGGTTATGTGATGTTTTGTAACATGAGAGATCATTACGTACAGTGTTTTGTGATAACTGCATTTCTTGTAATCCAAAAATATCTTGTTACTGCAGTCACAATGGCATTGTATTGGGTTTTGCAGAACATTATTCCATTCCACTCTGTTCGGCATACTGAAATGCCCTCTGGTCCAGAATAAAATCCACTAAGCTAAGCAGCAAGTGACAATAGGCTTAAATGTGACCTTTGACTGCTGTTTGTTAATGTTCTTCATGGGCCTTCTTAGGTCCTTAGCCCAACCTACCTTAAAGACAGATATGGAATGTTATTAACTTGTCAGATGAATGCTATTTTATAAACAGTTGTGTAATGGTTATATCCAGTTGAGCTGCTTAAATTGCTAGTTGTAACTCAGTGCCGGAAGCAGGAATATATACTAGGATTCCTACTCCCCCAAGTCATATCGCAGTCTGCAAAATATTTGTTGATAAAATATCTGTGCATTTCAATCTGCATCTACTGATCTGTATAAATGGAATATTAGACCCCTACTATATCTGTATACCGCATGATTCTCCAAAGTCAGATGTTCTGCTTGTAGTCTTTGGAGCAACTGCATTTAACTTTTGATTTTTAAAAAGCTGCTCTTCGTGCTGTGAGAATGTTCAGTAGGAAAAGCTGCAGCCAGAGAAACAGTGTCCAGCTGTGATGTGGTTCGCAGCAAAATTCTGGGTTGTGGTCTTCCATTGCTTGTTACATGACGGTAATAGCTTGTGAGTTGCTGAAAAATGACTAATTCATGCACTTTTAGCTGGAGGTGAAGGGAGAAAGAAAAGATATGAGCAAACCTGTAATTTTCCCAAGTACCACAGTTACTGTATCTGATAAGTTAATGCAACTACTTTTGTTGTCTTATCATAGATAAACTCTGAAGAGCGTGTTGATACAGCTGATCAGGAGACAGTCTCTTGGGATCGCAGTATTCCTGAAGACATAAAACAAAAAGTACAGCCTAAAGAGGTTCCAGCAGAAAGTGTTACTGTCTGGATTGATCCGTTAGATGCTACACAAGAATACACAGGTAGCTGATTCTTGTTGACAAATCATGTGTGTAATTCTGATGTCTGCCTTTTATACTGGAGACAAAATAGTAAGTATTTAAAATGACATCTCTTATTAAAGCGTGTTATGTCAAAGCTAGTGTGATTTGATTGAAAAAATTGCATAATGAAATCCCTATAGTTATCACACCATAGCATTTACTTTTATGTATACCAACTCTGAAATGACTGGTATTCCTTGCAACTAAGTAATTGCTAAAATAAATGGTAACTGTCCTTTATGATTTCTGCTGGATTTACACATTTCTTTTTCAGTTATTACCGTGGCAACACTAAATATCTCAGAATATTTTTTGTTTGTTTATTTAAAGGGAATACTAAGTGAATATCCTATTTAACTTGATATAAAAATTTTTTGTTACAGTTTTTCAAAAAAGCATGCATAATTCAATCTTCCCCTTTTTCAAATGTTTTAAGATGTCACATAAGCAGTTCAAGGCAATCCAACTGAAATTCTTGCTGATAAGTACTGCAGAAGAAACAGAAAAAGGGGGATTTTTTTTGCAAATATTCCATTGATACAATCACCTTTTCAGGTGAATGTTCTTTGGTATTTGAATGATGAGCTTTGAAGCAATAGAGGATAGGAGGTGGGGCAGAGAAGGGAGGATCTAGGGGCACAGATTTCCATGAAAATACATGCTGTGTAAGATACAGCTGTTAGCATCTACTGAACAGGAAAAATTGCTGGAAGACAGAAAAGTCTTTAGTCTTTTGAAAACTGCAAGGTTATTTGAAGATACAACAAAGTTACATAACTGTAAGAGGCAGAATGTAGACTAGTCTTCAAAGAACAACATTTCTATAATGTCATGTCTGCTTTCTTTTTGTGTTTGTAGCATTTGGCTGTAAATTTGCTCACTTTCTCATTTTGCCCACAGAGGATCTTCGACAGTACGTCACGACAATGGTTTGTGTGGCTGTAAATGGTAAACCAGTAATAGGAGTCATACACAAGCCGTTCTCAGCATATACAGGTACCTTTATGCCTTCACATATTTCCAGCATCTTCAGTCATAGCGTTAATTAAAATTTGATGTTTGAGAGAACTTCTGTAGGTATAAATGAGAAAATAGTACCTGGGGCAAAAGAGCACTGCTGTAGACCTCGGAATTAGAGCTGCAAATGTGTTCTGTGCTGTAAAACCACAAAGGAGAATGCTGCCCTTCTTTAACATAAAAATGATGCATTTAAAACAAACTAACTGAAAATATGTTTAAGAATTAAGATCGCTTCAATCTGAGTGTTTACAGCAAACCAAAGAAAGTGAAACCTACACATACTGACCAGTCTTATGTGTGCTGTTAGTCTTTAGCAGAAGAGTACATTGCTCATTCAGCAGAAGAACTTGGGTCCATGATATTATACCAAGGAGCTGGTGTTTATTCAATGTGAATGACAAAGATAGATTAAAGAACTTAATGGCAGCTGTTTGTATGTAACAGGAAAGACTGCCTAGCGTAGCCTTATTGATTATCTGACATGCTTTTAATGCCACAACCCTGAACTAATTAATTCTTTAGTATTAATGGGGTATCAGTGAGCATGGCTGCAGGTTTGGCAATGTGTATGCACTTCTGAAACCTTCAAAGTAGTTTTAGTATTCACGCCTTGCATACTATATATTTGAAACAAGAATTTCTGTTCTCATTTTCCCTTAGGCAATACTGACCTCTAGAGTTGTGAAGTTATGCAGTAGCTCTGGCACAGAAACTAAGACCGAATAAATGTATTTTTTTTATTTGTTCTCTTTTTTTGCCCACTGAACGCTCAATGTTTTGTGCTAAATATTTTACTGTCTTTAAATATAAACTTAATTTCCAGTCATTTAAGTATGTGCTATATTCCAATGTGCTTTAAGAATCTTGGGGGTTTTTGGAACCTATTTTTCTAAGTATCAACATCTATCTGAAGAAATGGTTTTTTAGCACTGTAATTTTGAGAATTTATCTCCTTTAGTAATAGCAAAGTGTGACATGTTCAGACATGGCATCAGATGAGATGCAATGAATTCTGTCATTCTATGTGAAGAGTATTCATTTCCCAAGCTGGAAATACCAATATGTTGTGAGTAGGATTGTTCCTAATGCTACCTACCACACAAATACAAAGCAATAAAGGGCAGTCAGCATTGTTATTACACATAACTCAGTCTGTTGCCATACAATCTGGCCCTCTGCTGAGATGAAATAGCTGGTTACTCTGCTAAGTAAATGTCAAATTAATGGTTAGGGGATGCCACCTACCAAGCTTGGCTTTGAACCTCATGATGAAACAAGTGGGAGGTTGTGTATTCTAAATCCAGTCCTCCAAAACCCACCATCAAATGTTTTCCTTAGTATTACTATCCTCCTGAGCTATTTCCTTCCTTAGCATTACTATCCTTCTGAACAAAATGACTCAATAACATTTTTGCTGTCTGCTTTGAAGGGTACTGGGGCTTTTTGTTCTTATAAGAAGGTGGTTTGAGGAAATACTGGATCTATTTCTGACTCAGAGTCATCCTTTTAACTTTGGTGGCTTTCCAATTTCAAGTTCTAAATAGTTCTAAAATTAGTTGCCAACCGAGGTTAAACCACGACAGTCCTTCTTGGGATTTTTCCCTTTTACTCTGTTTTTTTGGAAGTATCACACAAGAATAGTCAGGCATAAGATAATGCCATATGCACAAAAGTGTGTGTGTGTGGACTGTTTCTCTTTTTCTTCTGCTTGTGTGCACATGTGGGCATGCACCCCTTCCTTCTGTCAGCCTTAACCTTCTCTTTTACAGTAGGGAGGGAAATTAAGTCAGAGGCATCAATTTCATTTTCTCAGATAAGTATCCTTTTATCTTTACACTCAACAGAGATTGTCTTTTGTGAATCTGAGCAGAATTTGTGTTTCTCTTGTAGCCTGGGCAATGGTGGATGGCGGGTCAAATGTAAAAGCTCGTTCCTCCTACAATGTGAAAACTCCAAGGATTATTGTATCCCGCTCCCATGCAGGAAAAGTTGAGCAGGTTGCACGGCAGACATTTGGAAATAAGACTGTGATAATCCCAGCTGGTGGAGCAGGTTTGGTTCCTTAAGCATCCTATCTGTTTTATTGCTTCCGAGTGATTTAACGGGATAGCTGTTATTGAGACAAAAGGACATAACTGTGGCATCTCCTCTTTTTTCCTCTTACCTTTTTGTTCTTCACATCCCTAAAAGCAAGCGCTTGACAATAGGGACACAGTTTTTCCTGTGTATAGAAACCTATGTGCAAACTTAGTTCAGGCTTCAGGCTATTCACAAGTTAGTATGTTAGTGAATCTAAGCCTGGACCAGCAATGTTGTTGTGGTGGAAAAAGTGCCGTGTTGCCTCTGTGGAAGAAAAAGGGTTGTATGACCAAATGCAGAATCATGGAAGAGAATCTGTTGGTTGTTAGTTAACTAGTAGTACATTTAATTAAACAATGTTTTAAGAAAAAGCCATTGAAGTTTTGGTACTCTTTCTTGCATTTATGTCAAAAGAGAAAACTGATGTCACTAAAGTCCACTTTTATCTGCCTCATATTGAGTCCAAACAGGTCTTAGCTTACTTTTTGTAACCTTACACAATATCTTTCTGCGTGTTACTGACAGAATGCAAATACGTGAGGCGCTAGTGTGAAGCAATAGCTGTTTTAAAGTCTCAGAAAAGCCATGCAAAATTTGAATTTTACAGAAATGTATCTTTCTGTGTCTTTAATATGGAAAGCTAGAGCTCCCTTAGAGATTGTTTAGTCAAGAAGATCTTGCATAGGTTCTTGACAATGAATCTAAACGAGTTTTCTTATGGTAAAGTGAAAGTGTAACTGATTATAGTAGATCTCCAAGGCTTGACTCTGTACAAGAAGATAAAGAAAGGGACAGTTTAATGAAACAAGCATATTGGTTGAACAGTTGAAAAATTGAAAACATTCCATAAAAGAAAGAACACTATTTTGAGCAATGACTTTGTACTGCATAATGTATGATAAAGGGGAATGCCCTGGGGTGAGTTGCTTTATTAGAGTGGTATATGCATCTTCCTTCTATTGTAATAAAAAGCAAGGAAAAAAAGGTAGACTTCAGCATAATACAGAGATTGAGAAAGAAGTGAGTGAACCTAAGAGCAAAACTATATTTGAGTTTCTAGTCTTGTTCTTTCAGTGTGTCTCTAGATAAGTCTATGTTGCATATTGGTAAAGGCTGTCTAAAAATAATGTGTCCCAAATACCCAAGGCTTTGATTGAGGTGCAGTGGAAAAATCAGGGGGGTAGGGGGTGTTCCTTTTTCAAATTTTCTCGACAAGTCAGAGGGCAGACAAAGTTTATTGGTGCCTCTGCCATTATACTGGATGGCGTGATATAATTAAGGACATCACTTTCCTAAATCTTGCATGTGCATATTATTAACACTTAGTAGTACATTTATCCTTTGTGATGAATAGGAAAACTTGGTTTAACTTGTTTGTTTGTTTGTTTGTTTTTTACTTCTGCCCATTTCTTCTAGGTTATAAAGTATTGGCCCTCCTTGACGTGGCTGAAAAGAATCAAGAAGAAGCTGACGTGTATATCCATGTCACCTACATTAAGAAGTGGGACATATGTGCTGGAAATGCAGTGTTGAGAGCATTGGGTGGCCATATGACTACCCTGACTGGTGAAGAAATTAGTTACACTGGCTCAGATGGCAATGAGGGAGGACTTATAGCCAGTATCAACATGGACCATAAAGCACTAATTGAAAAACTTCCAGATCTGGAAAAAACATCACACAAATAAACTTGACTGATGGAGAAGTACAAGTCATGCTTTTGTAGCCTCCAAATGCTCTGTCTGAAGAAGCAGGTGTGAGAACCTGCTGGGAAAGATGCAAAGCAAAGCAGTTTGGTGTGGGTTTGGGGCCTATATTGTGCGTTGGGTTTCTTCAGTGGTGGTATTTAAAAAAAAATAAAATAACAATAATCAGAAGTAGGAAGGGGACTGACTGCCTCACACCTCAGTTTCCATGTTTTATTTTTTTCAGACTGTTTTCATGCAGTTCTTATACTCAAGGTGCATATACAGTATATACTTGTGAATGTAGGTGAACTAAAGAAAAATCCGAATTGATTCATAAAATAACCTAAGTAGTTCTCACAGGAACTTCTTGGAACCTTTTGCATCTTGTTACTGTAGTTGTAGCAACTCCATAATGAATTAGGTAGGAAAAAAGGTTGGTTTGTATAGGCATCTGATAACTCTGTAAACAATTTAGCAGGAAACATGACCCTGTGTTCTGCATCCCCTGAACAGAAAGCACAAGGTTGACACAAATTTATATGCAGCAACAGTTTGTCTTTGACAGTGTGGCACTCCTTCTGCTTTTTAAGAGGAGAAAAAAAGAAATGTTCTGTACTATTTTGACTTTTTTCCTGAAGATGTAAACCAGTTTAGTTCAGATAGGTTGTGAATATCAGTGTTTTATTAATCAGTGGAATTATTTCCATATACCTTTTTAAAAGAAGGCAACATTTCCTTGTATAGTTTTTAACAGTTACTTCTTGTCCTTGTTTTCTGCGTACAGTGTTGAAGATGCATGCTTGATTTTTCTCTAATGTAGGACTTGTTCATCATTTGGTGTTTGTGCCTGTAGAAGCAGCCTCTTCCTTCAGTACCCGTTTTTTTTGTTTGGGGTTTTTTTTCCATTGGACAGAGTCATATGGAATGAGTTTAACAGAAATAGTAAGTTGATTAGTTGTTTCCATTTACAACATAAGATATAAACCAGCAATTTTTCTACAACCCCAAAAATAACTTTGTCTTTTTAGGTTAAGGCACGCTCTTTTCTGCAGAAAGCTCTTGAGCCATCCCAAACAGCTTGCAGTTACTTGGTTTGTGGAAATTTACATAGAGAGAGATCATTTGAACTTGAATCTGTTTAAGCAAGTTTGAAGAACATGTGGCGCTTGAAGTACAGCAGGGTCTGCAAAACTTTACCGAAAAATGTGCTTTGTCAACACAGTATACACAGAACAGAACATGGGCCTTTTGATATCAAATGACGATTTGTTGCACCTCTAAAATATGTGGACTTCTATCTGCAAAAGTGTAACCATCTATTGTTGTTCTCTGCACCCCTCTGAAGGGTTTCAGAAGGTTAAAATGTACCTCTTATTTGAATTATCAGTAGATAACCTTCCCATGTCAAGAAAGCTAAAATTCTTAGTTAATACAGATGTTTTCTGTTCAAAGTTTCTTCAGTATAAGCTTAGGCTGTTTAAACCAAATTCTTACTTTCATTTTCACTTCTTTCATCATAGTGCTGTTCTGATTAAAAAGGCTTTTCTCCTTATGTCAGTAGTGGAGCATATCTAGATACCTCTTTTGACTTCTAGCTAATGTTCGTGTTTCCAAAAGACTTTCTCAGTTGTTGCATAACTACAGATACAGACTTTCATTTTGTAAACTTACTGGCACAGTAGGCTGAAGCTTAGTCCTACTAGCCTTTTGGTACGGATAGGTTTTTTTTAGATAACTGTTTTTTCCCAAATTGACACTATTGCTGCTATTTGAAAATAGCTTTTACACATATAGATAATACACAAAGCAACTTAACTTCCAATTTTTAAATTTAATAAACTACTATATGCTATGACAAATAAGTGAATATGCCCTTTTTGAAAAGGGGCTGATCTATTTTGGAAAACTTGTTGAGCTTCCAAACCTCAGTGAATAATAAAAATTCAGATATTTATCAAGGCTTTGGTCATATTTTACAAGAAGACTGCAGCTTTTTTTCCTTCAGGCTGATTTAAATGACTTAAAGCCTAATAAAAAAGCATCTCTCTTGTCTATTAGTTAAAGAACACGGATTAAAAACTAAATATGAGAAATAGCCATAGTTAGCCTAGTATAAAAACCTAATTGTGTCACAGAGGCTGGATGCACAATATTTAGATAGGCAATTAAGACAAAGTCTGTGGCAGGTTGTGGTTTTAGATTCAGGTTGAAATCATGCGTAAACTTACCTTGTGAAAATGTGACTGCTTTTATTTTGGGTATGATTCTATCACTTCCTTGCATAAGCTGTGATCAGGCTTAGCTTCTGTAAGAGAAATGAAAAATAAGATGTTACATATCGTACAAGGGCTTACTTGCATCTTAGTTGAAGGTATGGAGCAGTAAACAGGAGTATTTGCCTAAATCATTTTTCCTTAGGAAGATAAGATACAAGGAGCTTCAGCCCTCCTTTCCTTCCTCCAATATGCAGGCTAAAATACCTAGTCTTGCGTTAGGAAGAGATATGCTTGTTTAGACCCTAAATTGCTTTGTTGCAATGGTTCACAGTGTTCAGTACCTTTCACAGTGGACCCTTATTGGCCCAGTCTCACTTCTTGTGAAAATGAAGAAAAGGTGAGAGTGAGGTGCCCAGTTAATTACTTCTGGTACAGCCTGCGCTCATACAGTTTTCCCACAGCTAAGGCCTAAGGTGGTGCTTGGGGTCTCCCAGTCTAGTTTAAAGAGGAGCTGCTTTGATATGAGAATAGGTAAGCACCTGGTGAATATCAGTTTCTGATGTCATTTTACAATAAATGCAACTCTTATGCAGACCAGCAAGTACTCAAAAGTGCTTGCTTAGCGCACATGTGCCAGTGCGCTGCAATATTTGTTTGTATAGTGTTAACACTCAGTATATCCTGGTTTTTTGACTACATTTACACTCCATTTTAAAACACTTTACTGTTCTGGCTTAAATATTTGTTTGGTCTCAGCTGTGTGGATGTGGCTTAAGTTTATGCCCAGAGCGGTAGGCAATCACACTGTACCCATGGGTACCCCAGTGTACTGCTGGGCTAGAACATTGTTCTTTACATTCTAGCCTTTTCCACATAAAACTGTCATACCATTTTTAGGGATGCTACTTAAAACAATTTTCTAAAAAAATTAATTTAAAAAAATCATGGTATCATCCTAGCTCCAAACAAGGGAAGTAAGAGAATGTACTGTTTTAGCATTGGTTTTCCAATGGTGGGTTTTTTGAGTGGCTATTACGATTAAGGTAATTGCAAGTGAAATTATTCTAACGCTGTACGTATTTTCACTTTTTCATTCTGCTAAAAAGAGTAGATGGTAGCATAGATGATACCTCATACTGTACCAAGAGTCCTAACACTCATTCCTTGAATGAGTGTTTTCTAAATAAATGGACACAGAAGTAAGAGGGTTGAATATGGTACTTAACTGGTTTCAAGTTCAACCTATTTGCCAGACTTTTACAGATGGACTTATATAAGAGCTGTTTGTTCTGATCTACAGAGCACGTAATAATAATGAAAATATTTAGCAGAGATTCCTTACTCGGATGGTGAATTAACCATATAGGTGAAGCTGTAAAGTCATCTAGTGATGTTTCATATATTTGCTTTTACTTCATGGTCATTAGAGTGGACAGATTTCTAATTGGCTTCAGGTGTGAGAAGAGATTTTTAAATGGCCAGTGGTTGGAGATCAGGGGCATGGAGGGGAGTCAGCACTGGCGTTAATCTCTGCTTTTTTGTTTATAAACAAATGTACCCCAACATATTTGTAGCATCCCCTCATCTGTTGGAGTTGTACAACAGCAGTGCAATACTGTATACTCCTGGTTTAATAGTGTAAAACAAGGAGTCTGCATCCCTCAGAGCCAGTGCAATGGGAAGTGACTGAGTGTTGTGCTGGGCCTCGTCTGTGTTATGCCAGCCGAGGCTGGCTGCTTCGTTGTCTCATGGATGTTGTTCCAGTTGCAGTTTCTCTGATGGCAAAACTGCTTTTGTAGGCTACTGTCTCCGCAGTTACACCCAACCCCTTTGTGGATCTGTTTTCCAAAGTAAACTAGAGAAGTAGAGAGGAAAGAAGCAGATGGCTGTGCTGGAGAAATTGTAACAGAGAACACTTACTTCCATTTCTTGATTTAAATTACATTGGTAGTTTCATTTCTCTTGTCCTTCAGGGGTTAGATAACCATACACTAAAGATTTAATGGACCACAGATAAGTGTCTGCGTGATTTTAAGCCCAAGCAGGATGAGGGCGGGGGAGACTGCTTCTAACCGAGGAAAGCCTGGATGGGTGGCTTCCTGTTAGGCCATTCACGCTGAGCCTTTTTTTGATGCTTTGTTGTAGAGATTTAGGCTCTTTCACACAAACAATTACAGATTTGACTTTGCCAAAACAGCATTCATAGTCTATCTTCTGACCTGCTATCTGCAATGATAAAGCTGCACTATATCCACTTCACTGTAATGTAACTTGCTGAGACAAGACTGTGGTAACTGAGGACTCAAAGATTGCTTGACTTTTGAACCACAGCTTCTGTATGGCAGCTCTTATAATGAAGTGCTAGCACCTGCTGCGAGTGTCCACCCCACAAGCAGGTCGTGCCACTCACGGGTCGTATCGAGAAGCTGTTGAAGCCTTATACTTCACGGTTTTCAGATGCCACACCAGCTCTTTCAGCTCTTCTGAGAGGGGTTCAGAAGTTCTCATCCAACTTCCTTCCAAGGCTCCCTCTGGCACCAGCAATTAGCAGCCACTTTTCCCTCTTTGCTCTTCCTCATTTTTCTGTTCTTTTCTGATCCTTGCTCCTTTCTTGGTCCATGTGGACAAGAAAAATGAGAGATCGGGGGTGGAAACAGTCCCAGAACAAGAGAACCACAGCGGAAAACTATCCAGTTTATCCTCAGGCTGTTAATGTTTGGGACCAAGGTCTAAGGTGCTGATCCTACCAAAAGTGTGATAGATGCCAACAAAATAAAGGCATCTTGAAGAGAGGTTCATGTGATTGGTGGTACTGAACATGCAGAAAAGATGCAAATGGACTAAGGAGAAGTTAAACTCTCTTAAAAAGCAGAAGAAAACAGCTTTTCGGTGTAATGTTACAAGCATTCGGCACTTCTGCTCCTCTGGGTGCAGAGCTTCGTTGCTTATGAAGGAAGCTCCATTGGCCCTCTGAAAGGCCTGGTTTTGCTGAAGTCAGTAGCAGCATTCCCACTGAATTCAATGTGAGCAGAAGCAAGCCAGATACCACACAAGTAGTAAATCAAGCTAAGTTCTGAAGAGCTCAGCTTCTGCCAGTAGAGCAAACAACCTGGGTTGTGTTAAACTCGCCTCTGGCGGCTTCAGCCTACATTACTAGAGGACTTAGAAACATCCCAGTGTCTCGAGGTTCTAAGTCTTTCAGGTTTTTTTATGGTCTACAGCTGATAGAGCCCGCTTTCAGATAATATCGTTTTCAACCCAGATTGTTCCTTACTTGTAATTCACATTTCTTTTTTTGTCTCCCCAAAGGGCCAGCAACACTCCGGCATTTTTCCTGTTGTCCCACCAAATTGTATAAGCATTTTCTGATTGTGTGCCAAATTGAAATAACAATTCCATAAATAAACTCTCTGAAAATACTGGTATGTGAGGGTGTTTTCCTATATCTTGTCTTTCTGTTGGGTATTTATTGTTTCTTTGTGCACCAGATATTTTTTTTTTTCTTTTTCCGGTAATGCATGTCAGGCTGCTTCAGCTGTGCTATGTCCATCGTGTGTGCAGGACTTTCTGCCTGAGGGATTACTGTTATTGGCAGGGGGGGCCCCTTTTTTTTATGATTCTATGATTCTTTTTTCCGGTAATGCATGTCAGGCTGCTTCAGCTGTGCTATGTCCATCGTGTGTGCAGGACTTTCTGCCTGAGGGATTACTGTTATTGGCAGGTCCAGCCACGTTCATGATAAATACAACAAGATGTCCACTGGTTTTGCTTTCATATGTGTGTTTTATTCTGAAAGCTGGTGGATCTGTGTGATGGAAAATGAGTGCTTAAAAATCCCCCATATAGTATTTTTCCTCAGATCTGAAGAAGCTTTCCTTCCAACATCATCTCCAAGACTCATCCTAATTATGTTACTTCATTCTGCTTGAGTCTCTTGTTTCCATGATTTTCTAGTGTCCTGCCAAACTCTACCATTACTAGCCCTTTTTCTAATAATGTGTCACTCTTCGTAAGTGAAACCGTGGAGTAAGTTGAAAGGTGCTTTAATATCCCACATCAGTATGGCATTTTGGGCTTTTCTTGGGTGCCACTTCAAATATGGTTGTTGTCACCCTTACCAATATGTGCAAGACTGGAGGTACAATGAAGTTGTGTGTCACCTTGGCAATGCTGTCCTTGACATGCTTTCCTCATTCTCATCTTTCCCCAGGTACGAACTGAAATTGTGAAGCAGCCTCTGTGCCGGCACAGTCCGGTTAGTACTCACAAAAGCTATGTTTCAGCATGCCTAAAATTGTGCTCTGGCACTAACACTGATTGTACATACTGCTACTTTCAGACTCCAAAACGGGGTGGCTGCAGGTGGACTGCTCATTGAAAAGTGTCCGGCTTCATGCAGACTACTGAACTGTGCCTGGGAAATGGTTTGGGATGGAGCTGGTTTGCTTAGGCCAAAAACATGCTGAGGATCATGCCGTAGTACCAACTGGCGAGCTGTGGAGTCCCAGGAACATTCTGAACTGCATAACTGACTTGTATGGGCATAGGCAATATATGCCACAGGAGCTGTACCTGGATGTTTTGAAAACCCTTGTTGATGGGATGTGATCTAACCAGATAATCTGTGTGGAGTATTTGGCAGTAATTTGGAGAGAGAAGTGTCTGTTGCGGTGCTCTGAAGAACATTTTGGGGAAAGAACAACCCAGAGGAGCAGGGATTCTTCATGTGTTGGGGGGGGGGAGGGGAATGGATGTTTGCATTTATCAGTGACATCGATATTTTTCTAACTGCCTTTGATGACACTGTGCAGCAACCTGGACAGCCCAAGTGGCAGGCTTGTCTGAGGAAAGCATAGTGTGTGCATCTACTTGCTGTTTCATGTGACTAATTGGTGGACTAGCTGATTCATATGGCCAGTTTGGGAACTTTGCTGCACTGAAAATACTGTCTTCTCAATTATACTGGTCAGGAAAATATCAAAATTGCACTTTACTGTGGATTGTGTTAAGGCACGCAAAGGGCAAAAGCACAAGTATGGTGACACTTGGACAACAAAATTGCAGAAGTTGAGTAAGTACGTTAACAGTTTGTAGCTGGCTTGTTAAAAATGATTGTATCCTTTGGGAAGCCTGAAGGATTGAGTTGTAGGCTAATGTCTGCTCTATGCTGACAGCCATTTACATGAGGCTCTCAAGCTTGCATTTCTCCCGCTTGAGCTATCACTGCAGTATGGCGTAAGAGCTGGGTTGCTAGCAATGCTTCTT